TCCAACAGTGCAATATCCAGTTTAAGTTCTGGACTATAAGACCAAGAGGGCCAAGATTAAAAGGTCCAGATGTATTTCTGCAGCTGCAGGCACAATTCACCTTTTGTGCACGCTCCCGCCAGATTTATAAACAATCACGGGCAGACAACGCTATCCAGCCTCCTGCATTTTCTGAATGGAGGGCTGCTGTAATTTACTAGAAATCTGTCTCATTAAATTATGTGCATAATAAAATATACAGAAATAATCTAAAGGATCTGTCTAGACCAGCAAATGAATTTCCAATGGTAACTGTATTTAAAAAAAAAAAAAAAAATCAAGTTTAAGTAAGCTTAGTCTATTCTTGTAACTTATTGATCCTGAAAATTAAGACATTATCTTCGTGCACCGAATCAAAAAATTTTTCAAGAGCATAACTGAAAGAAACGGTAAGCCACATTTGGCACATTCTAATTGCTTACTGCTCTCATGCAACTGGCTATTACAAGCCTTTAAGAATACAAAGTAAGTAATTGCATCATCATACATTCTTCTGCATAGTAACTATTAAGAATTCAAGGACTGAGATTATGTATTCTTTCATTCCAAGTTCTATAGTGGTCTATTCCATAAAATAATAAAAACCATAAAAGAATCAATACAGTGCATAACCTATTTTTTTTGCAGCAGGAAACATATCAAAGTCCCACATCTTCCAAAGTGGCAGATACAGGGTGACCAACTTCTTCATTGCTCTCACTTTCCCATTTATTCAGCTAGGTGAAGAGGCCCCTGTGATATATTCAAACTCAGCAAAAACATTCAAGATGTTGAGCACTCCATATTTAACGCATATTCTTTGCACGCCTGATTTTGTGCATTTCTTCCAAAAAATGTAAGAGAACCAAACATTTTAGTTATTTCACAGAGAACAGACTAAACACTAAGCATTTTAAAACATCATATTAGCATCAAATACAGACATTTCTTATCAGATATCTTCATGACTCAGGTGACAAAACAGATGCTGAGTGAAGGACTAGAAAAAAACGCCAACTTGTAAAGGAAGTTCTAGTTATCAAGTAGCATGATGTAACGTTGCATTGTTCAAGGACAAGTTACTTCAAATACCAAAGCTAATGAATTATCTGCTTGAAGACTCGGTATACTTGCATACGAATCTTGCTTTCAAACAACAACAACAACAAAAAAATAATCTGACTGGCACTACAAACAGCGATGTAAAAATATAGCCTTATCAAAGTGAAAAAAACTGATTGGTATGTTTTCCAGCTAACACTAAAATAACAGAAAGCTAAGCTTTCCACCTTTGTTCTAGGCCAGCATGTGTGAAGTTCACACAGTAGAATTCACACGAAGAAAGACTGAAAGAAATACCAGTTTCAATCATAAGACCTGCCAGCTTAAGCAGGTACATATCACAGAAAGCAGTAACAGTATTAAAATTGATTTTAAAAAATCGTCAAGTGAAAATTTCCCTCCATGATCAGTTATCAAATCAAGTACATTTGCATAGATGTCAGCAAACAAATAACTACACGCACCACACTGGTTTTCAGTATTGCATCAACTGAAACCTTTAACCTATCTAGTCTTCAACTACTTGCAGGCATAGAGTTTGTTGTCTAATCATCATTTTCTATCTTGAACTCGTCTTCTGTTTATAAGATTATATTGACATGGCTGAAGAGCTAGTTTTGGAGAAAAATGGCATATTTATTCCTGGACAGCAGATGTCTCAGTGTTTCCTTTCGAGCACTCCCTAAAGTTACAAGTTCATTATGAGGTGCTGCTGGTTCAGGAAAGCAACATTAAGAATCAGTCCTGATCTTATCCTACATTGCCCTCAACTTTCTGTCATGTGGTCAAACATTTGTATGACGTGACAACTACTTTAAGAAAAGCTATGTTTACAGTAACTGAAAACCCAGGGGGTTACTTAGGGGAAAATCACTGCTCGGAATTTCTTGCTTCCATGCTAGTTTAGCCAGTTCTCCTACTTCCATCCCACAGCACAGCGCTTTATGTTTGGAAATTACCCAAGTCACTGCTTCCAGAAATTGCCCTGCGGTTTTAGAAGTCCCAGAGCACACTGGTATGAAGTTTGTTAGGACGATATATATGTGGTTGCCCCCGGATGTCAACATGAAGTTACTGAACTTTGGAAGGTTAAGTTGGAATGAAACAAATTTATTTTTTCTTGCACGCATAAGCTTTAAAAAAGGAAATGCTATGAGAAGAGTGGTACAGTAATGCTAATCTACACTGCAGATCCACGTCTCCCTTTTACTTTTCCTTTTTGAAATCTTAAATGAAGGCTATGTATTTTACTGGAGAAAATTCACAGTAAATGAAAGCAGTATCTGCTTGCACTCAACACGCTTTGGCAGATACTTCTGAGGGGAAACGCAAGGCTATGGCAGCCATAAAAAACAGAAGGCGATTTCGAACCCACATCTGAAATTCTGGCCTGCAAATGCTGCAGAGTAACAAACCACTTCCAAAAGGAGTCCTGAATCCAAACATACAGATAGCACAAACATGATTAATATCCAAATTAAATAAACGGCAACATAATTTATACCTTTGTTACCATGCAGAAGTTCTGGTGGCATGTTATTTAAAAAAAAGCCTTTTTTCCCGCTATTTTTCCCATCTTGCTTGTCTCCCTTTCAGGAGCTCTGTAAGAGAAACGTTGAGTAGGTAACTGAAGAACAAAAAAAAAAGCCAAACTCAAATAAATCTTAACTGCTCGCTGTGCTTCAGCTGTGGCCTAAAAGGCCCCCTGAGGCTCCTGTATCGTGCTGAAGCTGAGCTCAACACGTTCGTCTTGGGAACTGGGTGTCATAGACTCCTTTGCTAAACTACCCAGCTCCAAAAGCAGTCGGGGAGAAAAAAATAAAACTAGAAAAATCCCTACACTAGGGCCGACAGAGCTCCACTGACCTGCGACCCGTGCTCTGCGCAGCAACGTCCTTCAGCCCCCGCCACCTCCCCTGTCCCCGGAGAAGAGCCCCACGGCCGAGAAAACGGTTCTGCCGCCCAGCTCGGGGCACCCGAGCTCTGCCGCCTCCCCTGAAACGTGGAAGGGGAACATCATTTCAGCC